GCTCGCGTACCACTGTCTCCATGGAAGCCCCCTCGTGTCTCTGTTACCGCGGAAGCCTGCTCGTGTGTTTCGGTCTCCAAGGAAGCCCCTGCGCCGTCGAGCGCACCCCGACCCGGCAACTCGTCAGAATTCGATGCTCCGGGTAACGCCATGGATGGTAGAACCTCCAAGTTCGACCGCTCCTGGTTGCTGAAGTCCCTATCACCCACATCAGTCGGAGTGGCTGGCTGAGGCTCGCCTGCCGCCACAGCCGGCGTGGTAGCACTTCCCAGTGAGCCGACTGGAATCTCATTCCGATCAACTGAGTGGTCGTTCTGATCAAACGACACCTCATCATGACCACCGGGCGTCTCAGTGAAGAAGTCCTTCGAGTATTCTTCTTCCTCCATCGGCTCAACTTTCACGCTAGTCTCTAACTTGAGATCCATATCCAAGAGAGGCAAAGGGTCGACGGGAGAGGCCGCTCGCTGATCACCGTCCGCAGCCACTGACACGTGAGGCTGTATAGGAGCACCCGCTGCCGCCGCCACCGCTGCCGCTGCCGCTGACGAGTCACTGGAGCTGTCCCAGTCGGCACCGGGCTCCTGTTTCACCCGCAGCTGTACGTGCAGGGTGTTTTGTCCGTCGCGCGGCGCTGCGCCGTCCTCAGAGACGGCCGGCGATGGTCGTCTGGCAGCCGACGTGCCCGGCTCGGCGCCGCCCACCGCCAGCAGCGGCTGGCACGTCTCCTCGTGCAGTTTGCGCTGGTAGATGGAGGTGCAGACCCGGCCGCAGCCGGAGCAGGTGGTGCGGCCGTCGTGGGTGGCGCGGTGGTGCGACCGACTGCCCCAGGCCACGGAGGTCTTGCACAGCGAGCACCGGTACCGCTGCACGGTGCGGATCTGGCCGTCTGGTGTGAGCTCGCGCTCGCTGATCCGCTGCCCGCCGGTCGCCGGCTCGACCTGCCGGTCCAGCACCCGACCCTGGCCGGTGGACAGTCCCGCCGGTGACGGCGGTGTCGGCGGAGTCTGACGGGAGGCTGTCGGTACCGCCGGAGGTGGAGGAGGGGGTCTGCCGGTCAGCAGCGCCCGCAGCACCTTCCCACCCGGCTGCTGGGACGTGGGTACGCCGGGCGGCGACTGCGGCGGAGCCGCGGTAGACACTGGCGGCGCGGGCTCAGTGGTGACCGCACTGTGTACGGTCACCATCGGTAGCCGCGGTGCCTGGCGCGCCGACCCGGCGGGTGCCGGCGGCCAAACCGGGCTGGCCAGCGCACTGGCCAGCCGGCTGATCAGGGTGCTGTACCGCGCGCCAGACGGCCCGGGGGAGGTCGCTGGGGGTCGCGGTGCCGGCGCCGGCGGCGGGCAGCGCGGCCGCAGGTCGTGAGGCTGCTGCCGGCCTAGTCTATCTAGGTGTGCCAGCAGTGCTGTGGTCGCAGACGACGTGGCAGGAGCCGGTGACCGCCACGCCACAGGGCTCGCGCGGCTCGCCGGCGCCGATGACTGTGGTGTCACCACCCTGAGTGTCCTCACTCGGGGCGGCGCGGTGGCCAGGGCGCGCGCCAGCGTTGGCGCCTGGGTGGCCAGTGTGGGCGCCGGCGGCCGAATCCTGAGCACGTGGAACTCCTGGCCGGTGCGGGACCGCACCACGGACCGCGCGGCGGTGGCGGGGGCGGCCGCCGCGGACGGGCGCCCACCTGGGGACCACGGCCGGCCGTCAGCGGATGACGAGATGACGGCGGCGGCGGCGGCGGCGGATGACGGCTGACCGGGCGGAATACGGACGGCACAGACACGAGCTGAAACTACCGAGTGGAGATGGCTGCGAGGACACAGACTACGGAGGGCTATAGCGGCGCTACTAAGGTCACCAGCAATATACCGCCACTCAATAGATGTTATGGAAGTGCAGTCCCAAAGAAACTGTGTAGCATTCAGACGCTGGTAGAAATCACTCATGCGAGGTATTTCAATCCAACTGGAGACATACTGGAGGGATGCTCATACACAACATCGGTGCTTAATTAGAAGTTTTGTTCATAAATAATCGGGTAAAAAATGTCTGAGATAAGCATGCAGAACGACCAATGCATGTAAATCTAATACATCTTCAAATGCAAGTATATAAGCTATTTAGAATCCTTCTTGTTCATAATGAGAGCATTTGTTTGGAGGCGGTATAAATTGGAGCATAAGCCTCTGTATGCAGTAAGTAGAGGTCTGCCATTGGAAGCATCCTTACCCCTCCCTATCTGCATATTAGTTAGCAAACGTGTTTTTTTAACATTTGCTATGTAACATTTCCTCGTTATATAACTGCTCAGTAGCTGGATGGCGCATTCGCCAGTTCTCACTGCACGGTAGCGTATAGCCTCCACGGGCTTTTGTTTTAATTCCACGACGCGCTGTATCGCTATATGCTTGCTTCTTCACCCGTGCGTCGCGCGGCGCTTCCCATCCCGTTCCCCGCACTATCCGCGCGTCCCGACCCGGTGCGACTGCTCCCGTGTCGCGGCGAGTGCGCGGCGAGCCGTCTGCCGGACCGTCCGGTCCGGTCCGGTCCGGTCCGGCGGGGGGCGGGGCCGCGCGCGGTCCCAGCCGGCACGGAGCCTGCCGGCCCGCCACCGCCGCCGCCGCCGCCGCCCGCCGACACACGCACAAACACAGACAGACACACATACACCAATGGACGGCTGCCCGAAACGGAATGACGGCTCGGCATGAAGCTTGGTGTGATTTTTAGCAGATAAGTGTTAGACTTCATGACAATCAGTGGCCATGGGGTAAATGACATGAAGCGCCCTTTTAAAGACATTGTACTTTTTGGCCGCGAAAAGGTAAGAGCAATCTTAGACGTGGGCTGCTCTGAGGCCCGAGCAGCCCACGTAAGACTCATAAGAAAAAAGTAATTAACCTCGTTGGTATGACAAAACAAAACTGGTGAGCCCAAAGCCATAACTCCCTTTCAAGCAGCCAAACACGAATGTGAGCACCACCATGGCACTAAAAGGGTAGCACATAAAAACGATAAGTCAACTGACGCTGCTCTAAATTAGATTCAGCAGACATGACCTTTATAACGTCAGCCATAGAAGTTCAGTTGAAATTTCGACGGTAAACATACTTCGTAATCATAAACTACAACTCAGGCTGAAATGTTATCACCTGACGCTTCGGTGGGACGAACCCGAAAACAATGCCACTGAAGGAGGCACTGGAGTGTGTCGAAGCGATCATTGAGCGATCCCATCTGTTGTGCCATGGTGGCGCCCACCCACATAGGTACCGTCCGGCGGCAGGAGCGTGCGGGGGTCCAATGCCGGTCCAGCGCCGGGTATCAGATTATCAGACACGGTCTTGTAAAGCGTGCAAGTATTTCAGAATTACACTAAATCGAAAACATTTTAGCAAGGAACTTTTCACTACTTATTATTTTGGTGCCTATTACAGTAAGCTTTGCAGTATGAAAGACAGCTATCAGAGACCAACTCGAGCCAGTCTGAGAAGCCAAACAGGCACGGTGTCCACGTGACACGACAGACCACGTGAGGGGACCGAGGCACGCCCCCGCCGACGGACACGGACACAGACACCGCTGCGACCCGGAGAGCGGCGGCACGCACAAACAGACAGTGGTGGTATGTCCGGCAGCCGTCAAATGGACACCAGATAGAGGGACAGGAGAGACGGAGGGAGGAGAGAGACACATTTGGCATAAAGGTGTGGAAGAAGTTGATTAAAATATAGTATCTGCGTCATTTTTTCACTGAATATGTGGTGATTGTTTTTCCGGTGAAAAGTAATAACTTCGGTTAGATATTACGGTGAACACGAGGATGAGGAGTTAACAATGAAGTAGGATGATATGGCTATTCATACTCTTTGTTGTTTGCTTTTGCTTTTTTGCCGAGTTTAAAAACCATCGGAAAAATCTACCCAAATGGTTTTCAAGGTCCTGGTAATCCATGAGGATATCCCTCAGGATTGCCGAGTAAAAATAAATTGGCTCGTAGTTACGCTACAAGATCACTCTGAATTAGGAACACCAGTTGATCATTTGTACCATGTTGCCAGGCGGCGTCAGACTATGACGTCACCGTCCGATTTCCAGGTAAGATCGATAATGTCGTTAGAGAACCAGCCGACCGGCCGACCAGTTGGATAACCGGGAACAGATGTCAGTGGGGGGCAGAAGGGAGCAGGGTATTGAAGGCAGCTTTGGAAAGGTTTACACGATCAGCAAACAAGGAAAAAAAGACGGAGGGAGAGAGAGACAGACAGGAGAAAGCAAGAGGAAGGGGGATGGAGAGAGGGAGAGAGAGGGAAAGCGCGAAGGGGAGGGAGGAGATGGAGATGGAGAGGGAGAGGGAGAGGGAGAGGGAGAGGGAGAGGGAGAGGGAGAGGGAGAGGGAGAGGGAGATGGAGAGGGAAAGGGAGGGGAGGAGAGAGAGAGGGAGAGGGAGGGGGAGAGGGAGAGGGAGAGGGAGAGGGAGAGGGAGAGGGAGAGGGAGAGGGAGAGAGAGAGAGAGAGAGAGAGAGAGAGAGAGAGAGAGAGAGAGAGAGAGAGAGAGAGAGAGAGAGAGAGAGAGAGAGAGAGAGAGAGAGAGACGCGACGGTGCCATTTGACGGATCCGTCCATGCCCCAGCCCGACCCCGGCTACCGTGCTCGTCTGATCGCTGCTTTATATCCTGGCAGGTCCTCAGAATGGGGGTGAGTCGACGGAGGAGAGAATGTAACCGAAAAAAAAAACTGAAAAATTAATTTCGAATAAAAATTAAAATGGGATATGCCCATCGCAATATTTTAGATACTAGAAAAACATAGTTACCGAATTACCCATTCTCGGTTGGAACACTGAGTTCTGCACATGGCCGAGGTAAATACAATTGACAAATACAAAGGGTACCAGAGGTCCGGCGATAAAAGACAAAGTTTGAATGTTACGGTGTTTCAGGCAGCAGATCGTCGAGCAGGGAGGCCGGGGCGGCTGGTCGCGTTCGGAGTATGGGAGCTCGACCTACCTGGTGTGGAACTATCCGAGAGGTCTTGTGAAGGGAAGCCCGATGGACCGGCGACTGCCGCTAATAGATCTGTGAACACAGACACGAATGTGAAGCCCGATGGGACTTGGAAAATCAATGAGTTACAACGACAATAAAATCAAAGGGCAGCAGATGTGCAAGATCTTTAAGGTCTAGCCAGTAACTATACGCGATAAGTTACTTCTTCCGTGCACGAGTAACAATCCCATTGTTTCACCTCTGCCCTGACCCGTTTTCCGCTATCTGTCGCTCCCATCCCCCGCCCCCTTTCAGGCACTGACCTTCGTCCTGGAACTCATGTGCTTGAGGATGGGTGGGCGTCCCTGTCAGGAAGCCCATGTGCGGCGCGTCCGAGTCACCGAGCAGCGGCATAACGCCGCCGCTGCCGGAGCTGTTCTCGCCGCCACCGCCGTGGTACGAGTCGTCACCGTCCTCCAGCACCAGCGGCTCCTCCTTGACCGAGAGCGGCTCGGAGCCGGGCCGCGGCAGCGCCGCCTCCGGGGCCGCCGCCGGCGCCGGCTGGTCCACGCTGCGCGGCCGCTTGGGCGTCAGCAGCGCGTGCTCGCCGGAGGAGGTCGGCGGCGGCGACAGCGGCCGCTTGGAGGGCGGCGCCGCAGCCAGGGGCGGCGGGGGAGGCGGCGGCGGCGGCTGGGGCGCTGCTCGGTGCCGCGGCGGCTCCGGAGATAACCGCGGAGGGGGCGGCGCCGACGGGGTTGAGGTCTTGGTTTTCTTTGGGGGCTGAAAAACAACAAGTCAATATAAGTCTTGGTCTTCTTTTATATCTGTTTTTAATATCATCACATGTTAACTCAAAATGGTTAACTCACATGCTAACTCAAAATGGTGTATCAAAAACATGACATGAAATTATTTCAGGCTTGTGGAATTTTTTCAGTTCACCATCTTTAACTGAACATTGCAGTGTGCCTCACCTCTGGCTGTGCTGGCTCGTCATCTCCTGTCAGACCCCTGACCTGCAGGGTCTCAGCAGTCTTCAGAAAGGAGCCCAGCTCACTCTGCGCCACATTCACTTTTCCTCGGTACATAAACTCCACAATGTTTGACAAGTCTTTGAATGATATATCACGCATGAAAAACACTGGATGTGTTCCAAGGTTACCCTGAAAGAGAGGTCATGTTGCACATTAAGAAATCAAAACAATGTTGATATGGAAATAGTTTTGCTTACATGAGGATTGATAATCTGTATGCAGAGAGGCAGCCATGCAAGCACAACTCATGAAAAAGAGCAGTATTAGATGACCTAACAACTTTCAGGATATAGCTTAGAAATTTGAGTGTAACAATTTTGTCAGTCTTATCTGCAGACTGCAAAGCATCAAAGCAATTAACTTTTCCAAGCTCAACCACAGTGCTTATTCACTAAAATCCATTTGCCATCACAGCTAAAATGTTCTTAGCTCACCTTAAGAACATCCCTGAAGTAAGGACTGCAAGCTGAAAGCATCATTCTGTGTACTTTGATTTGCTGGCCTTGAGCACACAAAGTCACATCGACCAGCTCCCCATCTCGCCTCAAGTCATTGAAGAGACTTGTGACACTTGTCTGGTAGCTGTTCCATTGGAGACAGAAATTCTGCCCCTCATCCATGACAGCAGCTCTGAAAATACGTGGAGCAAATGTGACCATTGAAACCTATGTCGGCACATGCAAACCCTGACTTTGCAAGGAAAAGGTCAATAAGAATTTACAACTTTGACCTTGCAACAATGGCATTACCTTTGCATTATCATTCATTGTGCTTAAATACCTGTAACCTACCCAATCACAATTGTTGTTAGGTCATTAAGGTCAACAATGATTATTTAAGTAGAATCAAGTCAATGCCAATTGCCAGGGTCTTCAGAAAATGCCTAATCAAATTTCCATTGTGTTAAAAATTAGCATGCATCATAATATAAAAAACGAAAACACCTTCACCTACCAAAGAGACTGAGACGAAATGCAGGCTCGCACCTACGCATTCATGGGTCACGTTCACACGCCAACTAAATGTTCCCCATTCCAATGCAGCTCGCTTTGTCTACCACTGATATAGACTCTTCGAGGTTAGCAAGGTTTTAGAGAAGAAAAAACGGTACAAGGTCAAACCAAGGCCCTAAATACAAACAACCCAACCTAACCCACGCCCAGCGCAATCACGATTTCCACGCGCCGGAAATGCGCGACGCCGATTTTGACGTCAATACTCAAAATGGCGCATGTGACTTTGAAACAAGTACTTATCAGCAGTAAGACAAGAACCACCATTTCTTGAGTGTATAAAATAAAATTTATTTCAAAATGGCTGTAAAGTGCTTTATTTACGATATTTGTTCAAAAAAATGCTGATGTTACATGCATTTTAGGCAGGGAAAAAAGTACTCTAGGCTACTCTTTGGCTAATCTACCGAGTACCTACATACTAAACTTTCTACCTAAACTCGAACAACTGACCGGCAACAATTTACCAAAGTAACATTTTCTATCGGATGGACTTGAACTTGACTGAAAGATGCAGTTATGTGCGCAGTGCGAGGTTCAACGTCGTCGACCATGCCAAAGCTTATCGTCCTTGTGTAGTAGTAATGGGTCAGTGTGACCCGCTTTCAATGGCTTCAACTTATTTTCTGTATTTTCTTACAATGGCGGACATTAGTATATCCAAAGTTCCAGAAAAAGAAAATGCAACATGTATTCATAATCCACACGGGTTTGACATCGAAGTTTTTCGACAGCTTAGAAAAACGGTCAAGCGAAAAATACTGCCACTCTAATTAAAAATCAGACTATCATTTTTAGCGAAAATTTTTTGAAATAAAAATCATTTTTCTTTCAATTTCCATGAAAATAAAAACAGAAAAAAACTGTTCCAATCGTAAGATCAAGGCTCTGTAAACCGAAAAGTGGTAAAGTGGCGCATCAGCAACAGCTGAGCAGATACGATTTTGAACACATTTGGTAAACATAATACCTTGAGATGTAAACAAACATTTTCATTCATAGGGCATAGGGCCTTGCATAGGGCGCGCCGCGGCGTTGATGGATAGAGATAAGTCGTCTTACCGCCCAATAAATTGTCATTTGAGGATGCAACATTCACAGTGCACCAGTGAAATAGCAGTTTAATGGTGAAGTCATGATGTGAAGCGTTTGCCGCTTTTATAAATACCCATGGACTGAACTAAAACTGAAGCTGTTAGTTACCGGTTGAGGTCACAACACTCACACGGTCTCGGTTCACGGTTGTTTGTCGTGAATCAAATCAGAGGAATAAACTCAAGAAATGAGATGGCTGTGGGAGAAGCATGGACGTTCACTTCCAACCTACAGAATGATCATGTTTCTCTTTTACTTTTTAATCCTGAAGATAAGACATATTTGTTCAAGAACATGCAAGAGAGGGAGGTGCCGCACGGAACCTTCCTTCCGGGTGGGCCAACCACCGTAGCATTGAATACATGGAACAAGGTCATGCAAAGCAAACTTAGCGAGGTATAAGTTCCTTCTTTTTTGTTGTAGGATGGGATTGAATGGTTGAATTGATGAATGACATGACATTGGGACGATAGAAACAGAAGAATAGTCGCCTGCCAGAATTTATTGCCCAAAGACCGCTTCACACATGGTTAAGCCCTATCTGCTTACATGCCCATCATGTTTATGCTCTGTATGTGAAGGGATCTTTAGGCAAAAAATTTTGGCAGGCAGCTATTTTTCTGTTGATAAAACTGGCCTCTGTACTTTTGAAGTCTTTCTAGATTTTAGAACAATAACTTTGATTGAATTGTTGCTTTAGATAAATTATCCATCAGTAGTTATTTTTCTCATGTGACTAAATGATCAGGTGCAATTGGAAAACATATGTGTAGTTGACAGTGCTCTGTATGTTACAGGTTGCTGGTTCCTGTGATATAAGTCCACATCTACTGAAAATTCAGAGGTTCTTCATCCCATGCTTGTCCAGAGCTATCAGCCATGTCATCTTCTACATGCCAATCAATGCCAAGATCAAAAACAGAACAAAGGTACACAGGCATGCAGAAGTGATCTGCTGTTGAGTAATACCAATGCAAGGAATGAGTTAGCTATCAAGAATGCTTAAAAAATAGGTACTTCTTATTTCTATGAATAATCTTGCTCATATTTATACCTACTGTGATAGCAATTCCTGAAAACTGGCCTATTCATTTTCATGATAATTTGATAGCCCATCAGCTTCATGTTATGCTTTGTCACATATTTTTTTTTTGCCTTTGTTGTTTTATGAAATGATTTTCTTTGCTTTATTCAATCAGATATCTTAAGGTCTAAGGAAATTGGTTTAATTGTCAGCCTCCAGCTCAAAGTTCAGATCAGCTTAGTATTCCTACTTTGAATGCTAAACTTGCTGAAAAGCAGTCATCGCACTGATGTTTCCGACCCATCCTGGCTCCAGGCCAAGCCCGGCCTACGGTGGCTGACGGCCGCGCAGGCCCGCGCCTCGGTCACCGAGGGCCAGCTGATGGCCAGTCCCGAGGTGCTGGACTACATCCAGCTGGCCGAGGCGCGGCAGACGGGTGCCAGCGATGCCGCCGCCGGAGGCTCTGGAGACGTCGCCTTGGACGAGAAGGGCGGCAGCTACATCTACGTCCTGCCGGAGGACAGGGCGGTGAAGCTGCCGCATGAGGCGCTGCTGGAGGCTGCCCAGCTCCTGAAACTCGGTAATCATGGGCGTAGGCTTTGGTATGGTCGGTCATAAAGTCGGTGAGCGGAGCGATCGGGATCTGACTGTTTGCATCGTCGTTTCGCCGTGTGTCCATAGCTTAGCGATCGATCAGTAAAGACTGAGACGTGCACGGCAGTCTTCTGCAGTTTCACATATTTTGTTCTGATATAAGATATTGCCTCTTCCAAAACGCTAGAAAATATGCTTTGGTCAACATCTTAATTTTTATCGAAATCGCCGATATTTGTTTCGGTTCTGTTTCGTTACGCATCACCTCTCCGGCCTGGCTGTTCCCAGAGCAAGGTCTGCTGTACGAAGAGTTTGTCCGCCGCTGCTTCCCGTGCCTGTTCATGAACTTCTCTCGGTTCTCGGACCTGGTGCAGAGTCTGGGCTGGGAGCAGGCGACGCACAAGGACCTGTTCAGGTGGGCTAGTTGTTCCGTGGGGGTGGCATAGCTCGGCAGTGCCCAATCAGGTAAAGCTTTGCAATGGATGAATGGGTTATGCTCGATTTTTCCCGTAATTAATCGCTGAATCATGATTGGCTGCCGTGTTATTATTGTCCAAAACCGATGACCTTTGTTATTTTTTCTTTCTGACCCATTTCCAGGAGTCTAGATTCGCAGGGTCGCGGCGGGCTCTGACGTACCATGACCTGCCGCCTGCCGGTGACCCTGTGTGACCTGTCTCCAGGAGTCTGGACTCTCAGAGCCGCGGCGCTCTGACCTACCGTGACTTGCTGTTCGGCCTGGCGGCGCTGGAGCCGTGTACCCAGCACGGCGGCCCGCCGGCAGAGATACGCTGCCGCTACATCTTCCGGTGAGCACGAGGACGGTGAGGGTGACGAGGGTAGGGGGGGGGGGGGGGCGCCGAGGGATTGGGGAGCTGGGAGTGGTCTGATGGACTCTGCGAACCCCTGCCGATGACGGGGAGAACTCTGAAGTGTGAAGTACACGTTTTTGAAGAGGGAGCTGAGTAGGAAGTGCGGCAGGATGTGCTTCCGGGTGTAATTGGTCTGTGTGTTGTGTCCTTCCTTAGAATTAGCCTGCATATTCACTGTTGATGTTGGTGTCATCGATATGCCATGCAGCATGTCGCCCGTACTCGGTCAACATTGTTCTCTGCATCTTCCATATTCCCTCCTTTGACTTGGTCGAAAACCTCGGTAAAACGTCCCCACGCGAAGTACTTCGGCAATTACTCAACAACAATTTAATGTGTGCTTTCTTTTCTGCGACACGACCATTTCAAAATACGCCTCCGTTCAAAAAATGCCTTATATCACACCTTTCTATTCTCGCAGTTACTACGACAAGGATAACGACGGCCGGCTGGAGTTTTCCGAGTTCCGGCAGATCGTCAGCGACATCCGCCGCTTCAAGGGCCAGAGCGTGAACAAGGAGGAGCTGATGCTGGTCACCGAGCAGAGTGCCAAGTGAGAACGTGATTACCTGGTCGGTGTCGACAGAGGGAGGGGGCATTGAGCAAGTGAGATGGTTTCTTCTACCTCGCCGGCGTTATGAAAAAGGCCCCGGCCTTGCGAGGGTTAAAGTGTTCCAGGGTGTTCCTGGAATAAGTGACGATATGGGGGTAGTGCGACGAACATCCGTTCCGTGTTGTTAGCAATCGACGGGGTATGCGATATGTGACTCGGGAGGTGAGGAAAATCGGTCATTGGGGGTAGGTAACGTGCAAAATGTTGTCCTCCTTCGGTGTGGTGTGAATGATTACGTCCTGACACAGCACGACCCACCCGTACAGTATTGGGTGCAGTGAATACCTAGCCTTCCCCTTCCCCCGGGGTGTTTGGCGCCGAATCTAGCGAGTTACTAGTTACCTTACGCTGGCCGAGCTCCTTCTTCTCCCCAGTAGGATATTTGGTGCAATGAATGACACCCTGTCCCCTCTCCCGCAGGGTGTTTGGCGCCGAGTCGAGCGAGTATCTGACGCTGACCGAGTTTCTGACGGGAGTCGGCCAGCTGAAGTTCCGAGGTACCTCGCTGCTGCTGCGGTCGCCCCAGTCGGTCAGCGCCTTCCTCAAACAGCGTCAGAGGTATGTCGTGGATGGGTCTTTGGTGGAGCAGGGGAGGCCGGTGTGAGGGTGGGTGGGTGTGGGGGATTGGATTAGGTAAGGGACAAGGAAATGTGTTTCCTTATTTTGAGCTACATTACTTTAATGTAAAAATTATCGGCATATCCGTGTATAATTGTACTGCGATAAACTTTGTGTTACGTGCGTTGGGCGCTCATTTTACGTGTATTGGGCAAGGGGGCATCATGCCGCCAGCTGTACTCGGACCTCTGACACACCACTCCGTCCCTGCAGCGCTGCGGACCGGCCCGGCTCTCCGGCCGGCGGACGGGTCTCCCCCCGTCCGTCCGTCATGTTTGACCGGTCACCGCTTCACGTCACAGACGGACCCGAGAAACTCGAGGAAGGTGAGTATGGATAAGGCAGGGAGGTGGTGTGAATTGTTAGCTGAGTTGAGGAAACAGACGTGAAGCAGAGTGTGTACTGTCAACTTCAACCTGGTTTACTGCAAATTGTGCTGGAGCTCCATGAACACTGAACATTTGTTACTCTATCATCTAAGCCTTCAATAACCCCTCGAGCGCCAAAGCCCCATCTGTTGACCGCCCTTCTCCCCCTGACCGTCAGTCTCGGCGGACGGCCCGTTCTTCAGTCCGTCGGCCGGCTCCGAGGGAACAGAGTACGAGCTGGCCACGCACTCTGTCCGGGTCCGGCGCACCGGGACGCTGCTGGACATCAACGCCCTCTGGGACATGGAAGGTAGGCAGTAATGAACACCCATCAACGCCTTCTGGGACACGGAAGGTATTCAGCCTGCCCTCTGGGACATGGGAGGCAGATGGTCAGGTGGTCCTATCAACGCCCTCTGGGACACGGAAGGTAGAACTCTGCCCTCTGGGACATGGAAGGTAGGTAGCAGGGCATTGTGTTGACTACTAGGCAGTCCGGCACCTATCGACGCTCTCTGAGACATGGAAGATTGGCAGAAGTCAGTAGGCGCACTCCTGCACATCAACGCCCTTTGGGGCATGGAAGGTAGGCGCACCATCAATGCCCTGGTAGGCACTTTGTCACTACATATGTTGACTGCCTAATGGGCAGTCAGACACCTAGGCTATCAACGCCCTCTGGGACATCAAAGGTAGGCACCATCAATGCCCTATGGGACATGAAGGCAGTCACCTTGCGAGACTGCGTATTTTCGCTTTCAAAAGACGCATTGACACTTGACAGCTTTGTATGGTTCATTTTAATTATACAGCGCATGTTGTTTGAGTCATGGATCATGATGTTATTACGAGCGAGCGCAGCGAGCGAAGCGAGTCTTTTCAATATAACGGAAAATCTCAGTATGAGCGGCCCGGCCCGGCCCGGCCTGTAACGCTTTTGAGAGGCTTATATCTCAGCAACCGCTGGACCGATTAGCCTGCGGTCTTTTTTGCTGGGTACCCTTCTACCCCGTAATTGACTACTTTTGATACATATCAGTGACCGTCGTGGCACGTGCCACGTGAAATGTCAAGGGTGTTCAAGCTGTTTTGCAAAAGTAGTGATTTTGAGAGGCCCATATCTCAGCAGCCGCTTGGGCGATTGTCTTGCGGTAATTTTTGTAGGGTAGCTGCATCCCTTCTACCAATGGTCGGACACTTGCTCTATGTGAGTGACCCCCACTGCACGTGCAAAATGCAAAAAGAAGAGGTGCCAAATTTGTTCCCATTTCAATAACTCGGTAATTACTGGGGCGATTTCGCTGAAACTTGGCATACAGGTAGGCAATCACCAGGCAATGCATTCCCATGTGTTGCGGTTAGGGTGCTACTGCACGTGCGCACGTGCAGGGGGCGTTCCCAGATCTCGAGAACGGCTGGGCCGATTGCGCTCAAATTTGGTACACGGTTGGGGACCAGTTAGTAGGGTTCCGTGCAAAAGTCAGTTTGGACCCCGTTTGCACGTGCGCGCGTGCAGAATGCCGCTTCCAGATCTCAGGAACGGCTGGGCCGATTGCGTTCAAATTTGGCGCTCGGCTAGCGACCGGTTAGAAGGGTGCTTTGCACAAGCCCGTTGGAAGTACCCTCTCGCCCTTCCGCACGTGCAGGACTCACTATCTCGCTCGCTCGTTCTTCGCCCAAAAGGCGTTTTACTGGTAACATATGTACGCTTCTCAATGTTTGAATGTTTTCCTTTGTTGCATTTGTTTCCTGATTGTGTGCGATATGTTCTCATTCATTGCCTTCTGTTTCTAAAGAGCGCTTTATCTGCATCAAATTATCAACATGTATCTGCATCTCCACCGGCGTGTCTCAGTGTTTGGCAACCTGTTCCCGTATGCATGACATTATACATATATTGATTCGCCACCACTGGTCCAGATCCGTGGTTCGAGAGCTTGTCGCTGGGAAGTGTGAGAACGAAGAACGGTCAGTGGGCACTGTCGCATCCTTGGGCAGCGTCTTAGCTCGGCTCAAAGACCTGTAACCTTTAGTGATTATCTAGTAGTTAGCCCTCTTGGAATACCTAGCTCAGCTGTTCTTTTAGACGGTCGTTGTAGTCGAGAGCAGTATCTTGAGGTAGGCAAGATGTTCCACTTTTTTTATAAAAGAAAGCACAATCATTGTCGCATCGAAGTATGCGTACCTTTTAGTTAGTAGGTAATTCAGCATACACTTATACAGTCGAAATATTCTCCGAACACGTCGTGTACGCCGAAGTCGGCCATGACATAATTCGGCTTATGTTGATTGCCTGCAGGATATCTAGGTGATTCCTGTTGATTCTATAGTAGCTTCATAGTTCTTCGCAGTATTGGTATTTATAATAGTAATGCAAGGGTCACCTTTTCAGTTAGGGCACCATCAGTTAGTAGAGGTTTCGACAACTTGTGCTTCAACCATTGTACACGTTACTTTGATATAGCTTCACATATTATTCCGTTCTTAAACAATTAAGTATTTCATGTCATATGCGTCTCATATTTCATGGGTATCATGTGTAATTCCATGTATAACTTACCCGAAGCGATCGCTATGTGCTATTTGCCATTAATTCTGCACTAAATGAATCTTTAACAGCCTTGAAATAATGTATTTTCGCCTCCACCTTCCCATCTCATTCTACCCACATACCCGCCCACTTCACCCTTTCCCTGTCCCCCATCAGACTCGTCCACCATCTCAGCGTCTGCCCGGCTCAACAAACGCTCTCGCTGGGAGCGCATCTCGTCTGTGGACAGCTTCAACCAGAAGTCTCAGCCCAACGAGATGCTGAACGGGCTGCGGTACTTCGAGCGTCCCGTGAGGACCGACCAAGCCGCCGGAAAACACGCCGCCAAGGAGCCCTTCCACTGGGGAAACGTGAGAGCGGGGGATTTACACAGGGGAAGTGGGAGTGCAATTGGAAGAGCAATTAATGCAAAGAAATGCGAGAGAGTTATGCTCTTTTGGTGAGGGAAGTGGCCTTTTGCTAATAAAAGGATGCGGACGACGAATGACTGCAGCTGTTCACTAGCGGAATGAGGTATCCGGTTGGCTATTTATTTTGATTCTGAGCTTCCGCTGGTGAACTCATAGAATCACTCGCTGATACGGGAAGCAGGAGGCTGCGCAGTTCTAGTGATCATAATGAGTCTGAGTACTTATCCACCTATTTTGGTTGTACTTCGGCTGGCTGCTGAGCTCGGATGATCGTATGACCGTTCTTCCCCCCGTCTCCCGTTCAGGTGGATCAATCGGTGCTGGCCAAGTGTCTCGGATTGTCGTATGACCGCTCTCCCGTCCTCTGTCTCTCGTTCAGGTGGACCGGTCGGTGCTGGCCAAGTGTCTGCTGCAGATCTGCCATCTGGTCAGGGACATCCTGGTGCAGGAGCCGCGACTGCTGCAGCTCAAGTCGCCCTGCTACATACTCGGTACGTGCGCTGACCTGGACCGCATGGCACTTCAGATTCGCCTGATAAGTCATGCAATATACATCAATATCAACAATATTTCGACTCTTTGTTCCACTTGACTTTGCCCAACTTTCTAGGTCGTGTGCAGTAAGCCATCAAAAGTTAAAGCAAGGTATAAAATAAAAAAAGGAAGTTCGTAAACGATCGTGTTGTCGAAGAAATTCACCTTTCTTGATTCGCCTGCGGTAACGAATGGTCAAACTTTTTTGGAGCATATCGCCCATTCGTGTACCCACCTAGTTTGCCGCCCCTGTCCCAGCCTCTGACTCTGAGTCCTCCGTCTCTCGTGATAGGTGACATCCACGGCAACTTCGAGGATCTGGTGTGCTTCGAGAAGTCGCTGTGGCGCCTGGGGCCGCTGCTCACGCCCGCCAGCTTCCTGTTCCTGGGGGACTACGTGGACCGAGGCGCCCACGGCGTCGAGGTAGGGCACGTGGGTATGGAGAGGTATGAGATTAATCAGATCGAAGTATGACGCACTGAGGCGTCAGGCGTGTATGCTGCGATCGGAGAACTGATTGAGAAAGCAGGAAATGTTTGCGGATGCGGTTAATGTCATCAGTCATGTGTCGGAATGGATATTTTGCGTGAAGATATTTGTGATAACGGTTCCGTGTTATTCATAAAGGATCAGACTGACTAACCTCTCCCTCTTGTCCTTTAGACGGTCATGGTCGACCTGTTCTCGTAGACCGTTTCTAAGCTCTATCTCGTATTTGTCAGGTAGCGTCCTACTCTACCTGTTCTCGTAGACTGTCTCTAACCTCTACCTCCTGTTCTGTCAGGTAGTGGCTTACCTGTTCTCGCAGAAGCTACTCTGCCCCAACAAGTTCCACCTGCTGCGGGGAAATCACGAGGTCCGCGAGATTCAGCAGACTTTCACCTTTCAAAAGTGAGTGGCCAACAACCAGGTGTTATAATCTCTCCAATGCAGTGTCAAAATGGGACATCCCAGCATTGACTTGTCAATTTGACCGGCGTTTTTTACTTGTTCGACATGATCACTGATCATGATATGCAATGACAGCAATGAAATCGGTAGAATTACGGTGAGCTGTAGCATGAAGTGTTCGATGAAGCATTTGCTTTCGCGCTCTCGCCCTGCCCCACTCATTGGCTATGTCCCCGACCGCTCAAACCGACCGTCCTTATATCTCCCGAGCGCCAAAGAAAACCCAATGCCCCATATAATTGCCACGAATTTACCATTTCTACTCCTGTCTGTCACCAGGGAGTGTATCACCAAGTTCGGCAAGATCACCGGCCCGGAGGTGTGGGAGGCCGTCAACGAGTGTTTCGACGCCATGCCGCTGGCAGCAGTCATCGACAACAAGGTACGACGTGTCTAGAGTGTTTTGAGGTAGGCGGGAAATGTGAAAACCTCAGAGACCGGTGTGGGTGCCATTGGCGAGGGACTGTGCTTTGACTTTTGAGATTTTGTTTAGATTCTAGATCGATGCGTATGTTGTCGCAGTTGATGCGGCCGACGGCTTGGTAAAATGACCTCATCCCTTGGTGTGGATTCCGTTCTCAGATATTCTGCGTGCACGGCGGCATCCCTCCCCCAACCATCGACGGCGGGAAGATATCGGCCATCAACCGAATCCCGTGCCCGCTGCCGCGTCCCGAGACGCAGAGCCCGCTGGCCTGGGAGATCATGTGGAACGACCCCATCAGGTGAGGGCTGGCGCCGCGGACGAGAACGAGGAAGAAGAGGGTGCCTGTCTGCGATGAAGGGTCGTTGTAGAAGCCGTGGCGCGCAAGATTGTGCTGTACTGGCAGTGATGCTCACCGGAAGCGTCTGTAGTTCTCGGTGGTATTCTGTGTCATGCCCCCCGTGCGTCATCGGGGGTGTAGCTCAGTGGTAGAGCGCTCGCTTCGCATGTGAGAGGCCCCGGGTTCAAACCCCGGCACCTCCAACTGTGTGTTTTCCGTTTGCCATGACCACTCGTCCGCTCGTCTTGCACTGATTCTCATAGTTCGTTGAAATCTGCTGCTTGTGGCTCACTTTTGGTGCGGTCATCTATTGAAATTAGCCCGTAAAACACTCATTACAACCCGCGCCCTGTCCCGGCAGTATGGGCGCGGTCAGCTCTGAGACCCTGGACGAGCTGCGGGAAAACGACGGCTTTATCGACAACTACCGTCGCGGCACCGCACACATGTTCAGCAGCGAGGGCCTCGACCGGTTCCTGGCCCGCAACGAGCTCTCACACGTGGTGCGAGCGCACGAGGTGCAGCAGGCCGGCTTTCAGGTGGGTGCACAGAGGGTGAGGGACAGATTGGGACAGAATATTTGGACAGATGCACGAGCTGGGACAGATTGTGCCTCAGAGTGCAGGTGGGTGTCATGGGGAGGGATGCTTAAGGTAAGGGACGTGTTTAAGTGTTGGCTTTGGTGCGCAGGTAGCGGCGGCAGGTGCCGATGGATGTTGTATTGACCTGGTAGCGGCTACCCACTTGTTCTCTGCGTGGCCAGCGCTGCGGTGGCTGCTGTGTAGTGCTCAGAGATTGTGGATGCAGAAGAGTGGAGCGTCAAGGATGCTGAGTGCAGGGAGCAGACCAGTGGTGCGTGGGGTCCGGTAGCTCTAAATTACTGCTAACGAGTCGGGTTCCGAGGAAGCCGATGCGTCGCTTGTAAGTAGCTCGCAGAAGCTTGTGACAAACAAGAGAATTGAACCGGTTTGTGAGGTTCTCAAATCAGATTAATGATAATGAATGTCTTATTTTACCTTAGTTCTGTATGCGGCTGAATAGGGTGCAGGTCTCGCAGAAACAGGTCTCTCCACTTTCATATACTTACCATCCGAACGTACAGCCTTGCGCCTACTTTGCGAGCTGCGACCCACCTTACCCTTCACCAAACACCTTGACAGGTCGCTCCCTGCCTCAACCGAAAACCTGTGCCGAATTCCTCCAGCGATCCTCCCTGCGATTGTGGCCGCGCCGAGTCGGAAACCGGGCAGCCAAACAGCTCTGGACGCCTATCAGGCGGCCGATCGAACCGCTTCGCTATGCTCCAGAGGTAGCCGCACCGCCCACCGTCCGCCAAATCGGGAGGTTTTCACGCCAGCCGGCAGTGGACGCCAGGAGATCATACCCATTCGATGGAAATGAATGTGTTGGAGGTTTGATCTTGCCGGCGTTTTCCTGGTTTCGTGTAGTGGATATCAAACAGCTAAGAGGCAACAGTGGAGTTTTGCGTGAGAGGATTTTGTGGGATCGTGTTGGTTTTCGCCCATGTAACCTTGGCAAGGTTGTTCGCTTCATCCCGCTCTGACCTCATCACCAAAGCTAAGTGTAGCTTGGAAGCCTAGGCATTCTTTCGTGCCTGAATGATGTAGCAATGTGGCATTGACTTCAAAACAGTCGCCATGTGATAGACGCTATAGTTCACTGCATCCCTAACAATACAGGACTCGATAATACAGAGTCTGGCCGTGCCTTATCACAAATCTACCTATCTGAGCCGAACGGAGCTGCACTTTGTCTTGCCTTAAACCTACGATCATTTATTAAAAAAAAAAATCACATAGCCTACCGCATGCCGACCGTCCGTATCCTGGGAGCACCCGACAGCACCACAATTACTAATTCGGCTGCCTCTACCGCTGACACAGCCCTCTGCCGTGCCATGTTTTATTGATTGGGGCGGTGCGGGTATATCGGCGACGATGTCGCCTGTCGGAGGCGGTACCGCTGCCGCCGTCTGCTGATAGTGACGTCAATGGAATGCTCGCTGAGTGCCGAGTGACCTCGCTTGGTGCCACCCGCTCATCGCTGAGTGCCACCCGACCTCTCCCCGCTGGAATTTCCACCGGCCGACCCCCTCCGTCGGGTGGCGGAGATTCTCCCGCCTTGGGATAGTCCGCTACCCTCCCCAGTAAGGCGCCGTGCCCCCCGTCTGTGTCGTCTCGCCGTGCGTCAGTGGCGGCGCCCGAAGGGAGTGGTCCGCCGGTGATGTCACGTGCTAAGCTGTTGGGGAATGTCGGAGCCGGCGACACGGCGAATGGCAAGGTCGTCGCCGGCCGCCGCCGGGCGCCGCCGGTGTTCGTTCAAACCGAGGCGGAAGGATGCGGGATTTTCCTCGTGGTGCCGGCCTGGGCCGGCCGTTCGGCTAAGCTCCCGGCTGTGGCGTGGATTTCTTTTCAGCAGCGTTCGTGTGGGCTTGGTGTGGTAGCTGGCGGACCTGCGATTTTTAGGGAGCCAGCGACTATAAAGTGATTTTTCGTCAGATTGTGGACGGTAGCCTTGAAGGACGTTGCAGCCGTTATAATCTGCATTTTAAACAATTCATGATTATTTAATTTCCCCACACAGGCATGTTTCGGCCGAGGTCTTTACCGAGTATCTGGTGTTCCTGGCCTTATTTTCTCCCGTTCCTTCATAATTTACTTGTCAGGGGCCGGCGTTTCTGCGTCGCCCGGAGACAAGACAGGAGGCCTGTATTGTAAAGGCGTGTGTTTGTTAATAGTTCCGTTCTTATATGTAGCTTGCAGTGTCTGTGTCTGCCTTACAGCCGACATTGCGACTTTGTCTGTCCCACAACTGACTGTGTGCTGTCCCCGTTCCTTATCTCACAGTGTCGTTGACCGTTCCACACTAACAGTACCCGTCCTTCAGCTCACATTTCACAGTGTGTCTGTGTCCTTCCCTTAGCTCGCAGTGTCTGTTCCGCGCCTCACACTATGTCTGTATCCGTTTCTCAGCTGCAGCAGAAGGGCCGCCTCCTGACTGTGTTCTCGTCGTCCCGCTACTGTGGCGGCTCGAACGAAGCCGCCTGTGTGCTGGCCGACTGCCACAAACTGCGTACTATCCGGCTGGACACCGCCTGAGAGCGCCGCGGGTCACTCGGGGTCACCGTCAAGGTCAGACGAGGTCAGAGGTCAGCTGAGGTCACAGGGTCATATAGAAGGTCAGCGCAGACTGTTTGACGATGGGGCAGGTTCGCCAAAGCTGTTGTTGGAGAGTGACAGTGAAGCGGGGCGAAGTGCGGACGCGTACCTGGTGACCCGGGAGGTCGCAGGTCAGCAGAGGTCAGTTGTGAAAGGTCAGAGGTCGGCTGGGTCGAGTGGCCAGCGCTGGCGGACAATGATAGCTTGGCATGGCGTGATTTGGGACGTGACCAGAAAGAGGACCGGTTGCAGGAAATGTGAGGAAGGAAAGAGTAGGAGCTAATTCTGACCCGGCACATCCACGAGATGCACCCACGGATGCTAAAAGGTGAAGTTTTGCGGTGTTGCTCTCTAGCAGGTATGATTAATTTTGTGATATCCGCCGTGAAATAGTTAACTCGACTTAGGAGTGGGTTGGATTGTGATCATGTTGAATAGTTCGATAAATGAGATAGCAATATGAGAAGTTCAAGTTACAGAATTCACGGTTTTATGGCGGGAAGGTGGCGTCGCCGCTGAAAGTAAATTTTGTCGTTTTCTATTGAAAGATTCACATGGTGCCATGTCGAAACTTCCACAGGGGATCAGATGATTGTTGGTGAATGTTGGCCTTTAGGATATTCCGCTGCTCATTAACAAACCTGAAAAGGCCTTACTGTCAAACTTGTAATGCTGTATTTAATCGTAAATCGCCAAGAGCTTTAACATGGATCTTTCGATGATCGTGGGTCGACCGAGGCTTTGCTAAGCAGTCCTGAATGGGCTCATTGTTTTAGGGTGTTGTCCAAAGATCCGATGTACCCTAAACGCTCAGCCACCAATTCCTTCTAACAGGGTAAAGAAACTGCTGTGTTTAGTGCATCGGTATTCTGTGTCATATGTCTGTGAATGTAGAAATCTGCAGTTGCTGACCTGCTGGCCCGCATATCGCCTCTTTCACTCGCCAAAGAGTCGAATGAAGTTCATTATCACCGTGATATTTCTTGTAACCTTAACCACCTTAGCCATATTGATAGTTCGTGATGGTCTTCACTTGAGGCAGCGCATTTCAAACTCTGGGCGTGCCAGCTGCTGGTACGCTGTATGGATGCCTGGAAATTCAGCATTCAATAACAGCAGCAGCTACATCGGTTCATTGTGTAGTGAGAGTTGTCTGTGTGAATGATTTGCTGTCAGTTGGCTGCACTCGTGTATGAACGGTATGTTTTAATCCATAGTTGCATCATTGTTTTTTCCCAGCACACACTTTGTGCTTGTGTGGTGATGATAAATATCGCCAGACCTGACGGAGTCAGTGATAAATATCGCCAGATTCGACAAAATATGTGGTAAATAATGTAAATATCTCCAGATCTGAGCTGACGTGAGCTCCGATTGTGTCTGTGGACCATACTGATATCCACTGATTGTGACTGGAACTGATTACGCTCATAAATGTTTTTTAACACCAGCTCACCGGGATACAAATTGTCCATGTTCAACTGACGAGCTTCAAACCAATGCGTGATTAAAACCTGTGTGTTCCACTATGCATTAGTTAGTGAAATAGTGTTGTATTGAAGTGGCACTTGCTGTTCACATCGCCACATCATAATATCACGTTTGCCCACCTAACGCGCCCTCACGGGTTCCTTCTGTTCACCCAACCCGTGTGGTCTGTTCTTGTTCTGCTGTTCAGGTGTTCTCGGGGCGGCCTCTGAGCTGCGCGTGATCGGATCACGTGATCACCCCCCCCCCCTCCTTCATCCCCCCTCGTGTGGCTGTGACCGCATCGCGCGGCACCAAATACGGGTGCCAACACTAACTCTGACGTGCGATTGTTCGAGAATATACTCGGAGACATGCTTTGACATGGGTTTGTGACCATTGATGGGGGCCGGTCTTGTAAAAGATGTGATCTGAATAGTCACGAAGTTGTGATAGTGGGGCGATTCGTCGTGACTGCAACTCGACCGTGGGAATGTGTTCAAACGGACGCCAATCGCCGGCTGTGGGTGTGCTCACACACTGCCTAAGGAGGGCCCTACGCGATACCGTCCTCGCCCCAGCACAGGCCCCCTTTCCTGACCTCCGACCACCCGACCCGACACGACCCGATACGACCCTGCCCGCTTGACCTCCTTCATCTAGTTTTGGCTGATCATAGAACATTTATAACTTCTAAGCATGAATATCTAGGTAAATAGCTATATGTATCAAATAAAGTCGAGTTGACATCTTATTATGTTTCGACTTAATCATTCATACATGCTACCATTCTCTTCCTCAGTCAATTCGTACTTCATTCACCTTTTGTGGCACAAATCAAAGGTGCGATCGTGCTTAGTTCACATTCAAATTGAATCCAGTCCGGGTGCCGTTGGTAGGCGTCCACCGCAAGAATGTCGGGCGGTTGCATCCCGTGACTTCTGGCACTTACATAATGATCTAATCTGGATGGCTGCTCTTTGGCCGTGCCATACCGGCCGACTCCCGGCTGAGACACGTGGCTAGTCCGTCTGCAGTAAGGTCGAACACCCTGGCCACAGGTGCGAGAAACTCGCCCTTGTTGGTGTGTCGGAATCCCAAGTCCCTGTGGTTGGTTTCGGTAAGCTCCTGAGACAGCTCTGCAGGCTCTTCGGTTGAGTGGAGATACACAGGAAACAGGATTATGTTATTGAGAGTGCTTTGATATGACCGAAACGATATCTGCAAGGAACACAATGCACAAATACCCCTTACAAGTTACATGCACAACGATTTGTACCTTAAAGGTAGTGTGCCACCTTTGAAAGATTTCCCATTTTATTTTTCCTAGGATAAGAAGCTTCTGTTTTTACCTAATATCGCAAAAAAAATCAAAAATGGGCCTGGAATAGTGCCTTTTTCGCCTAAAAGTTTTTCGGTTTTTAGATATGTATAACAACTGTAGTGGGCTCACCTGCAAACAGGCGTCGGGCAACAATCGCGAATGCGGCGCACTTGTGACAATAAGCAAAGGTCATTATAGTGTTACGAGCATATTTACGTCTGGACAACGAGTTGCGGGGAAAAGTGCTGATTTTGTTGCAGTTTTAGGAGCCGGTGATTAGGCTGGATTTTTGGGTTACTTTTTCGTTCCGATTCATGTATTTCATAGTGTTTGGCTTTTGAATATTTTAGTTCTTTCAGATAAATATTACTTGCCTTACAACGTTTGTAAAAACGTTTCATTTTTTTATAAGCCGACGTTCAGAGTCCTAAAAATACATCAGCACTACAATCATTGTAAACAAACAAATGGAGCACCACTTGGCTCTGTTCCAAGGCCATTTTTAGTTTATCTGGTGGTTTTCTTACTCTTGTACGTCGTTTTGTTGGATGTTTTGAATCCCTTAAGATTGACTTATATCATATATAAGAAGCATGTTGACTGAAAACAATCTGAAGTATCCAGGAGGCTGACAGAGGTCCTGACTCCTGAGGCGCACCTCCTGAGCAATATCAATATTGATATCAAGTCAAAGTTGAACAGGTTATGAAATTTTGGTTGATAAACGAAAGTTGATCGGGCTCATATATCAGCAAGAAAAAGTTAAATTAAAAGAGCTTATTGGCCAAAAACAAGCTATAATATTGCAGACCTTGGAGCAATACTGAAGAGCACGCTGAGCAGGATCATGCCAGAAAATGTTGACTGATGAGCGCATATTCATGTATTGGTATGAATATTGAATGATAACTTACAACAGCAAGATAAATTAGTGCTAACTATCAAGTTAGAAATCTAGAATGAATGGACTTGGGCAGTTTTACTATGCAGTATGCTTAGATGCTATGCAGATTGTATAATGTGCATCAGGTACTCTGGCTGGCAAATGAAACATGCGATCATTCCATTGCTACTGGAGGAGAAAGCTTGGATCACTAAATCCACTTTATGTTGATTTTGATGTTAATCATCACTGTATTTCTTGAAAAAGGATTGTAGTAAAATTGTCAATGTGACAATCCATGCAACGATGTGATCATATAATGTGTTCATACTTCATAGTCATTCGTGATAGTGATTATTGGTCCAATATACAATGGCAAAGCTCTCAGCCTCAGCGTTTCTTCCTGTGGATGGCAAGTACTGACTCAGAGCTTAGAAGTATTAGTTTTCATCACAGGGTTGGGATAAAAAGTACTGATGGTAATCTTCCACCAAGGAACTCTACTTTGACATGGTATGAGATGTAGGCACAAGTAGGTAGGTGCTTAGTTCCTATAGTCAGTAGTTGTGTATGTTTAGTCAGGTTAGCTTAGATTAGATTGTTAGTTTTTTTTTTTAATTTGCCAAGTGTCCATAAAAATGTGACCTGAGCAATGAGCATACCTGACTAACCTGACAGCTGACCTAACCTCAATCATCACGTACATATTTGCAGCCTACCCAAGACCTGCATAGCAGTAGCACCCAGTTATAGATAGGTACTCAGTACTCACCCTAACTCAATCTTACCTGCTAACCTTCAACTTGCCAAAAGTTAGCTCACATTGCCAAGCTGCATCCAGGGAAACAGTCAACTGAGGAATTGGCTCATTGGGTGGCTAGTGTGAGTCTGTGCATTTAAAGTGTTTCTTCTCTGAAGCTGCTCAGCACTGCTGTATGTCATGTTAGATGCTCAGAAAATGTGGAAATGATTACTAAGCTACTTAAGTGCTTTGTTAATGCTCGAGACATGAACAAGTACAGATCCTGCAGGGTACAGCTATGAGTTAGGTGCTAGGTGAGTATGTTATGTGAATGTGCTGTTCCCTGTTTGACGATAGTAAGTATACAAACAAGCACAGTGTCAGTTATATTCAATCTCCACATAAACATACAACAAAAATGGCCATATAGCCTAACTCCAAAGTCCGAACACACCACAGATAACTTAAGCCTTTGCAGGCACAAAAATGTTTTGATTAACAGGACAGGTATACAATATATCCTCTGCCCTTGGGGATCTTGCTGCTAAGTTGAGGTACGATGACTGAACTTCAGGATTGATCAACCTTTTCTTAGCCACTGCTTATATACAAGAAAGACCAAATGCTTGTTTGTTTTGATTTACAGGACATGTATACAATATATTATATCCTCTGTCCTTGGGGATCTTGCTGCTAAGTTGAGGTACGATGACTGAACTTCAGGATTGATCAACCTTTTCTTAGCCACTGCTTATGTACGAGAAAGACCAAATGCTTGTTTGTAAACTGCGTTGAAAATTTAATGATCCACCTTCAATACTGACATGAAGGCACAAATGAAATAGTGAACAATATTGATATTGATATACACTGACGCTTTTCGCTTCATATTTTGTAACAAACGCGCTAAAACTGCAATATGACAGCACTATATGCTTCTTGACAAAATAAGAAAGTAGTAAAAAATTAGCCCTGATGGCATTCATTCTTGGTGGAAACGTAATTACAAAATGTTTTGTAGTAATTATTAAATTCCGGCCGAAAACAGTGCACGGTTTAAAAAAGAATCATTCCAATGACGGTCCATTCTTGCGGTCCTGAAATCGCCACTATTTCCGGCCTCTCCAACGCAACTCGTTGTCCAGACGTAAATATGCGTTACGACCATACGACGTACGGGAATGAGTTATCAGCTGTCTAATCGTAGACAACACAATGTCGAGCCTTAAACTGTAAGCCCGTATTGTATTGTTTCTTTTATTTGGCTGTCGAACATTATTTATGGTTTGAAATATGATTTTATGTAAAATAATTGATATGAAAAAGCCGTCTTATAAGTTATGACCCCATTTCACCACACGCAAGTGGCAGAAATGACAATGATCAGCTGACGCATTTTTCTTGGCCGAAGTCAGAGCGCGCGGCCCGACGCACCACGCGTATTTGGAAATTCCGACCTCGACATGTAACGGAAGTTGGCACAGATTCAGCACAGATTCAGCACAGCACAGATTCGGTAGGGGGAAAAAAGGCCCGGGTAGAGGGAAACCTTTATGACCCGTTTTCCCCTAGAAATGACGTCACAAACAGGTAAAAATGGGTATCAATCGAAAGCTCTCGTTTACCCAGACACAGTCCTGCAGGAAAATTCCACTTTTTTCCCATAGGAAAGTTTTTACGGGAAAATCAAAATTTTGGGTCAATGGGGGGTCCCCCCCGATTTCGTTCAAAATCGGCACACAGGTGCCCCACCACCAGCCGAGAAACTTTCCCCAAAACGGTCCCCGTTGCATTGACGTTTAAGGCCCTTAAAGCCCCGTAAACTCGTAAAAAATCCGTAAATTCGCCCTTGTACGGCCAAAAACGGGGCGCTAGGGTAACAATGGGTATCAATCGAAAGCTCTCGTTTACCCAGACACAGTCCTGCAGGAAAAGTCCACTTTTTCCCCATAGGAAAGTTTTTACGGGAAAATCAAAATTTCGGGTCAATGGGGGTCCCCCCGATTTCGTTCAAAATCGGCACACAGGTGCCCCACCACCAGCCGAGAAACTTTCCCCAAAACGGTCCCCGTTGCATTGACGTTTAAGGCCCGTAAAGCCCCCTAGACTCGTAAAATATCCGTAAAATCGCCTTTGTACGGACAAAAAAGTGGTGCTATGGTAAAAATGGGTATCAATCGAAAGCTTCCGTTTACCCAGATACAGTCCTGCAGAAAAATTCCACTTTTTCCCCATAGGAAAGTTTTTACGGGAAAATCAAAATTTTGGGTCAATGGGGGGTCCCCCCCAATTTCGTTCAAAATCGGCACACAGGTGCCCCACCACCAGCCGAGAAACTTTCCCCAAAACGGTCCCCGTTGCATTGACGTTTAAGGCCCTTAAAGCCCCGTAAACTCGTAAAAAATCCGTAAATTCGCCCTTGTACGGCCAAAAA